TGAGAGTGTTAGCTATGTGAGGATGGGAAAGGTGGCACCTTGGAGATATCATACAGTAAGAGTCTACAAAAACTCCAAGCAACCAGGATATGAGATTTAGGGGAAAGGTTCATTTTAAGTTTCCTTATTTGCTTCTTAGCTCTCTACATATGCTGGCAGGTCTCCCCCAGGTGCCCCAGCTGTCAGTGAAAATTGCTGATGGTCTTCAAGTTGTTCTAAATTTAATTCTTTAAACACTTTAAATGCCATTAGACCTTGTGCCCTTGCCCTGTCTGAAGACTGTCTGAGATTTACTTTGTTCCTTTTCCCTGGGGTTGAAGTGGAACCACATAAAGCACGGGGAAACGCTGTTGTCACTGATGTCAGTTGAAGTTTGAGGCCTCAGGCTCAGAGGGTTCAGCTCAGTTTCTCTCTTTTTTGCCACTTGTACTGTGATGAAGTTTATTTGCCTGAGATTACTCTAAGGGCTTTTAAAAGATTTTCACTGGCTGTGAGTCAGTGATGAAGACAGCCTTCCCTGAATCCTCTGATGCTATAGTATTAAACGCACAATCTGGGGACCAAAGTCCCCAGCTGTGCCCCTGTGCATTTGCAGCCACCCTGCCACACTTGTAGTCCTCATGGATGGAATTCATCTGACCACAGGTGACAGCATTTAGGTCTGAACAAGCGTTGAGATTCTTTCACCATTAATGATTTACTGTAACCCTACAATAGCTGCTAAAATAGGTTTGGTGATTTTTTTCCTTCAAAGTGTCTGTTTTTCTCACTAGGAATAAAAGCAGTCTAGGGTGACATCTACCTCATGGAGGCCTAAAGTCATGTGAGATGAATTCCACTCTACACAACCAATCTTTCATAGTGAGAAATTTTCTCCAAAGATGAGAATGAATATGAGAGACAGAAGGGTGGAGACTGGAATATTTTGCATCTTTGCATTCACTCACATGCCATTTTCATCAACGTTTTTGTGATCAAGTCGCCCTTCCATCTCAATGTTGAGAACAAGGCAATGGCCGGTGCCTGTCGCAGGAGGCATGTTTTCAGCTGAAGACATAGCTGAGCATATCCCCAGCATGATTTGGGCCAAATCTAACCTGCTGAGTGACTTATATGTTCATGTCGTTTAGTGTTTTGACGTATTTTAATGGTTATTACTATCACATTTCCTACAAAAGAAAATTACTTCATCCCTCTTTCCTCAGTACGAGCCTACTCCCAGTTTAATTTTAACATTTCTTCATACACTTTGCTGTGTTTTTCATTTCTTGACCCATCCCTAGTGTCTCTTCTACCTTTGTCTTCTCATTTGCCAAAGAAAATCTTCAATTTCCCTTCTATATTCCCACTCTCTCCTCCTTGGAATTGTGTTTTTCTTTCCTTGTTTCCTCACTTTGTCACACCTCTCCCTTCTCTCCAGCCCTTCTGCTCTTCTCTTTCTTTTTTCCCCTGTCTTACTGAGAATTCTCTTTCCTCCTCTTCCCATCCACACTCTCCTCACCCAGCTTTCCCAACAGCACGCTTTTGGAATAAACCCAGGGCCATATTTTGTACAGAAGATGACTCTGCACTAATGGTCATACTTTGCTGTGCCACCACCTTCTGTTTCCGTCACATTTTCTGCCATGCATCCCTTGCTTCTCTTCACATGCTTGCCCTCCTGCCATCTCCTGCCTCTCCTCTCCTGCCAAACTGTGCACGGCTGAAATGGTTACGGCAGTAAAAAGGTCTCCGCTGCTCCAGTCTGTGTGTCCCGGGGGGGCAAGGCATTGACCACTGGAACACTGCCTTAAAATAATCAATAGCACTGCTGGCATGTCAACCTCATCCTGGCCAACTGGGGATAACTTGGGGTATTTCCTCATTCTCCAGAGGAAAACAGCTGTTTGTTTAATAGAAGCTGTCATTGCTGTGCTGAAAACATTGCTGTGCCTCCATCGGAACGCCACGCTGCAGAGAGAGAGGAGCTGGAGAGCCCAAAGTCAACTGGAGCCTGGAGGTCATCTTAGCTCAGTATAGAAGGTAAGCCAAGGTATTCACTTGCTTCCTTCAGCATTAAAAAGTAAAACCCTAGTTAAAAATCAGAAGCTTGCTTTAGCTACCATGCTTAACAAAGCTGTAGAAAGGGCTTTTGTTTGCTGAATTAATAAAGCATTTTAAGTGCTTCTGGCAATCCAGAGTGTTTTCCTAAGCTGTAATAACATAGTCAGATCCTCTGATGTACACAAGTAGCAAAGTGGCACTGATTTTGGTGGTAGAGGCTCTCGCTAGGTCTGGTGATTGATGTTTAGGTAAGTTCTCCTTGCAGTTTGAAGTGGTGTTGAGATAGGTCAGAGAGAATGGGCTATAAACCCCTGTTCTTCCAGCCAAAGCAGTATTGTATTCCCTCGCACTGTGCGAGAATTGGGTCCTACGGCTATGTGTGAAAGATGCAGAAGAGAATTTATAACTCGCCTTCAAGACTTAGCTTTTATAGAAGGAGGTCAGACTGTGCCTGTGCTTGTTTGCCTCTCTCTGGGAGGGGAGAAGTAGGTGAGGCTGGGCAAACACATGGAAAAACAAAAGTTGGAATGAGAGGGGAAAGCTGACAGGCAAAAATCAGTGTAAAAAAATAACAAACGCATTGGGCGTTTGAGAGAAAGATGAGTGAGGTATCCAATATTCTTTCCATTCCCCTCCACTCCCTCCCTGCTTCATCTTTCATTTGCATATTGTGGGCCTGCTTAGATTTTTATCTCTTTGAGCCCAGAGGCTTGCAAAATGCCCTGCCCAATTTTGAGCACTGTATAAACAATAGGTAATGACCATAAACCAAGAAGAATCTTTGTTTAAATTTTTTCCTTCTCAAATAGTTTAATGCCAGGTAACTTTTTAAAGCTGGATTAAAAAGCATAACATGATTGTAAAGTGCTCAGATCATAAAACATATAAGCTCAGTGCTCTTATTAAACTCATAGCAGCAGAGAACAAGGCAGATTTTTTGCTATAGAAATGTAAACTCACAAAAAGTGTCTGGCAGTCTCAGCTATCTCACAGCAATATATGGCATCCCATAAAGTCTGTCTGTTTTCCCTCTCAGTTACAGAGGTCTGAGGACTTTGGTCTGTCATCGTGCCTTACCTCACCTCTTTGCTGTCTTCGTTCTGTCAACAAAGCCAGTTTCAGCCTGTCTCTGGCTTTCTCAGATATCTTCATACTGTCTTTCACCTGGGCTTTTTTGCTTGAGAACCCAACTTCGCTTGATTGCCATACTCCTAGCCCATTTAATACCTTCTCAACACTGACTTCTGTCAGAAAACTTTCAGGATGAGCCAACACACATGAATAAATTGAGGGACATTTCAGTGTTTACTGCCTCGGTTATTACAAAAACTATTTACATGTAGCAAGCGTAGGCATGCGTTCATGCATGGTTGCGTGTGTGTGTATAACATGGGCGTGTGTACTGAAATGATGTGTATCCAGATTATCATCCTTCTCATACATTTTATAACTTGCTAGTGGTAGAATTAAGCCATCTCTGTCATGAACAGTCAGATTTCTCCAAGGACAGAAACCCGCAGATTGACATTTTGCATTTTTATGCATTTGAAAGCCCTGAGTTGGAGTGCAGCTGTGATAAAACATCATGAAGAAGTTGTGATCGGTTTATGCCATAAAGTTAATGTCTGTGTGAAAGTTCAATAATCTCAGTTACAATAGTCCGAAATTTCCAACCTAACATGGAGAAATATCTGTGGATCCACTTTTATATTGATCAGCCTTTTCTCTTCGGCTATAGATCACGGCATGGGTACATTATGAGCTGGAGTTGCTCACTTTGGCGAAGGGGGATCTAATAGCAGCCTACATCAAATTTGTGAGGAAGAGATAGAGGTGATGGAGTTATGGGAGAGGACATAACAAGGAGCAACAGGCACATTTACAGCATGGGAGATTCAGGTTAGACATGAGGAAAGATCTTTTCACCAAGAGGTTGAGGCAGCCCTACCAAAGGTTGCCCACAGACATGGTGGTAGCTTCATCCTTGGGGATTTTCAAGGCTCAGCTATGCAAAGCCATGGCTGACACAGCAAGCTAGTGTTGGTGGTAGTCCTGCTTTC